GGGAAATTCCCGGGATTCGCTCGATCGGCGTGCGAGTGGTGGTTTGGGGATTCCGATCGCTTACCGAGAGGATGAAGATGAAGAATTCTATATTTTCAGCTTCGAGTACCCGAGGAAGAAGAACAAGAAGAAGAAGAAGAAAAGGAGAGTTAGTGGAAATAATAAAGGTGATTCTTGTCGAGAAAATGCAAGAGAAAAAGAGGCGAAAAAAACCGAGTATGGAACAGAGGACGGTTCGGAGAATTCGAGCCCGAACTCTGTTCTCGAGTTTGTGGAGTTCCCGGCTGATGATGATGATCGACAAGCTTCTTGTTCAGGTTTGTTTGATTGATAATTTTCTTGCCTTTAGTTACTTCTTACATGTCTTCAGCCGGGTTTTTTTTGTTTCTTTTAACTTTGCTATATGAATGCATAAAAACAGGGGATGTTGATTCAAGATTGACGAATTTAAGGATGAGAAGGACGCTGTCCGAGGAGCTCGAGAGGTGCGAAAAAACCGGGAAAAAGTTGTTTGTGGAGAAGCAGGGGAACATATATGAGTTTAGTGTTTGTGGAGGAAAATGGAAAGAGATAACTGGGAAAGAGGTGACAAAAATGAGGTGGGTAGAAGATGAAATACTTAATAGAAATCAAGATCATATGAAGGAGATTGGTACAGATCTTTCATGTCAAATTCTTGATCAGCTTTTGGATGAGCTGCTGCTTATTTAGTTAGTTTGTAAGTAGCTTCAATGATTCTTGACAGTTTGTGTATTAGTTTCTTTTTTTTTTACTGGAAACTTTCTCCAAGGTTTATTATAGAAATAACAAAATCAACACACTACTACTACTACTACAATGAAATTCCCTACTCATGTACAAATTGTCATGAATAATTAGATATATGGTTATTGGATTGATTTTATTTATTTATTTATTTTTTCTTTAGGGAAAGTTGTTATGGGAAATTATTTTCTCACTTTCTCTTCACCGAATAATTCTGTTCGGTTCAGTTTTGTTTTCGGTCGGTTTTGGTCGGGTTGATCGGTTTCGTCTTTCAGCTGATTCAAGTTTCCGAAGAAAACTAAAGGTACAAAAGAAAAGAAATAAACATCTTGTAGCAGTCGTTTGATTCACAAGCTTTAATCTTGTACTGATAACAATTAACAATTAATTTTGCTCTTCGTTTGGATACTGGCTGCCTAATGGCCCAATTTAGTTAGGCCCACGCCCATCTTATGATAGATTCGGTGGCCCGGCCCAATGCTCCTTGCCCATCAAGGTTTTAAACCATGTCCAGTCATTTTGCGGGGTATGAGAATTTCGATTCAAACATAGGAGCCCCTATTTTATTTCTAACGACAATCGCACACTAGCAAATCCCTAGCTGCCTCTCAATGTGGTGCTCTTTTGTATTTGTACGAGGTGGCCTTGCCTTTGCCATTAAATATCATCTTAGAAAAAAAAAAAAAATATTATCTCAAATGACATTCCAAATTGCAATCCAATTAAATGATCAGTGGCTGCCAATATGTCTCAGTAGTAAAAAAATGTATTGCTCTGGGTATATCAAGGTTTAGTCGTCGGTTTTTGTATCCCTTACCTATGGATTGGCACGGCTCACAGCTCACTGTCCACAAGTGGCCCTAAAAACCGACGATCGATTCAACTCGAGAAGTGTTGTTGCGCGGTATCCTTTCAACGCGCGACGGGCAACTTGCCTAAATCAAAGAACGCTAACGAGACCGTAGCATCTACCTATTATATAAGTCAATAATTAAGTCATTTTAATATAAAATTTATACCTTTTTTTTTCATTACAAAATATCCTAGATGTTTTCTATATCATTTTTAAATATATATGTGGTGTGTGTGTGTGTCTCTCAAGTGTTAAATAGACTAATGTCATCATACATACCATTTATTATAGTATCTGAATTAAAAATTAATACGATAAATTAAAATAAGAATATTTGTTGTGTGTGTGTGTGTGTGTGTGTTTTTCCCCACTTGAGCCCCAAATCCAATCTCCACCTTCCTCACTCCCTATATCTGCCCTCTCTCTCTATCCTCCAATTTCCCAAATTTCCCTTCTCCAACAAAAAAAAACCCTAAATCAGAAGCTCAATCGATCCATCCCCAATCCAACCATGGCCGGAAGTGGAGTCGTGACCGTCTACGGAAACGGCGCAATCACCGAGACCGCCGCCAAGCAGTCCCCCTTCTCCGTTAAGGTTGGCCTTGCCCAGATGCTCCGAGGCGGCGTCATCATGGACGTCGTCACCCCAGAGCAGGCCCGCGTCGCCGAGGAGGCCGGCGCCTGCGCCGTTATGGCCCTCGAGCGCGTCCCCGCCGATATCCGCGCCCAGGGTGGCGTCGCCCGCATGTCCGATCCCCAGCTCATCAAGGAGATCAAGAGCGCCGTCACCATCCCCGTCATGGCCAAGGCCCGCATCGGCCACTTCGTGGAGGCCCAGATCCTGGAGGCCATCGGCATCGACTACGTCGACGAGTCGGAGGTCCTCACCCCCGCCGACGACGCCAACCACATCAACAAGCACAACTTCCGGATTCCCTTCGTCTGCGGCTGCCGCAACCTCGGCGAGGCCCTCCGCCGCATCCGCGAGGGCGCCGCCATGATCCGCACCAAGGGCGAGGCCGGCACCGGCAACATCATCGAGGCTGTCCGCCACGTCCGCTCCGTCATGGGCGACATCCGCGTCCTCCGCAACATGGACGACGACGAGGTCTTCGCCTTTGCCAAGCAGATCCAGGCCCCCTACGACCTCGTGATGCAGACCAAGCAGCTCGGCCGGCTCCCCG